AGGAATGCGGCGGCCCTCGTGGAACAAATCTCAGGCGATCCAGCAGGTTATTTCTCTTAAAGCATTGCTTGAGCCTTGTGACGATTCCGGCGCCGGTGCTCTTCGGAAGGTCGTCGTTTCGCCTCGGGTGAGTTTTTGCCGTTTCTGCTGCTTTTCACACTCAACCCTCTGTTTGGTTGCTGAGAAAATAATCTCCCCCACCCACAAGGGGTTTTTTGCCCCGAAGAGTTCAATTTTCATCTATGCATAAGGGATTTTTTGGAAATGTCGACTGAAAGTCCAGTTTGTTACTTACTAAATGGAGTTTTTTCTTTGATCTTCGCCATTCAACTTTAATATTTAAACATTTTTTGTTTTTGTTTTGCACATTTGTTAATTTTCTCAAAGACAACAGTGATGTTATTGGATGATATCTGTGTAGGTGAATTCAAATCAAGGCGATTCACCCAAAGAACCAAGTGACGATGCTCAGTTTACGATGTCAGTTGATGAATCTGCTTATAGCAATGTGGAGACTGCAAAATCTACTCCAGAGGATCCACCAGTTGAACCAGACAACAAAGTCACCAGTCCCAGGTCAATCCGTGAATATCTTTGACTTTCTGGTACTTCTTCCCTATGATGTGGAGTGTTGGATCTTACAATATGTCTAGCAATTTCTATGGCTGGAAGCTGTTGTATTTGACGTTCTGTTTTACCTTATACCTCGCGATTTCTTGTAGTTCTGCTGTTATTGTTCTCTCTGCAGACCCCAGATGATTTAAACTCTCAAATAGAAGTTTTAATGAGAATGTGTGCTTCCAAAAGTTATGGATAAACTACAGATCTTTGTTTTGGCATTCATAAGTACACTACCCTAACCCAAAACACTAGGTATGGAAGAGATTTTAGGACTTAAAATGTGTGCAGAAGCAAAAGAAAATGAAGCAATGCAGAAGTTATCTGTTTTCTGAATTCTATTATCTGCTGGTTATATTTAGAGTCTAAACATTGCTGAAAAGGAGTAACTTGAACTATTATGTGAAAGTTGTCATCTTGTGGACCTATGGGTTTGGTCTTAAATTGCATACATGTGCATAGGGATGTGGGCACTTCTTTTCTTGCATTCTTTGATAAGTTCCAGTCCGATGTAGTTAACCACATTTGCATCACTTTATGTACTCATGCTATAACAGTCCTTCAGGGCGAAACTTGATAGTTTATTTGTTGGTTCTTTCTGTGGCTCGTTATGATGGATACTCATGGTATAACAGTCCTTGAGCTGAAACTTGATAGCTTATTTGTTGGTTCTTCCTCTGTGGCTCGTTATGATGGAAAACAACAATGATTTTCTGGAAAAATTAAAAAATTTGTTGGTACTTGATCAGTCACCCATATCTCGATGACTTACCCTTGTTTTGATATCTGTGAAAATAGTTCTGGAATTCTGCTTTGTTAAAGGTTATACAGGCACTTTTCAGAGGATTTCAAATCTTTGTAAAGATATCCCTTTTTCTTTCTTCAATAAAATTTGTACTAACTGAAAAGATGGGAACGCATGTTTTAATGGTTGACAGAGATCAATGCGAAACAAATGGACGAGATGGGCAAATGACAATTTTCTATTGTGGCAAGGTGAACGTGTATGATGGAGTCTCACCAGATAAGGTTTGGATGTTATCTCTTTTTTGGATTCTTGAAGAATATTTGTCATGGAAATGGTATTTTCCCCCTCCCTTTCAACTTGCTGTAGTCATCTATGGATTTGCAGGCATTGGCAATCATGCATCTTGCAGCAAGTCCAATGCCTTTCCCTCAGAATCATCCATTGGGTGGAACTGCTGCATGTCAGTCTCCACCATGTCTTTTACAGACTGCCAATGAGAGAGATGACTTTTTTCCTCCTAGTGCCTCTATCTATCGAAATGTGCACACAGGTGGTGAGTATGCGGGTTATAGCAATTTTGTTGCAAAATGACTTTTTTTACTCTGAAAACTTTTCCATTGCACCTCAACTTTGCTTGGCACCTTTTTATTGGACCGTACTTCTGGCAGGTAATTTTAGTGAGTACTAGTCTAAAACCTACATTTTGTGAATTTGTCGGTGATAGATGGTCTTAATGTGGCAGTTTTCACTTCTCCATTAAGCTACACTTTCTTTTCTGCTGTGAACTGAATCTTAGAGCTTGGATCTAGTCTTTTCATTTTTTAATCATATTTCCAGAAATAAAGTTTGGTAATGGTGGTAGCTAGTTAAGTGACAGTTTGTATTTTGACTTGACAGAGAAGATGGTAGAGTACCCTCAGCAGCAGCATGTAAAAGGAAACAGTACTCGAGATTCTGGTAAGCATTCTGTTTGCTTCCAATTATGTTAATTGCATTGGAAAAATAAAAACGGTGCATTTCTCATGTTTGCTAGAACTTTCAGAAGTTTGTTCTTTGTCCCATTAATTTTAATTTTGCTTTTATGCCCTTAGACAAAATTTGTTGTGATAATTAAATTCGTACAAATGTTCAACCACAAACTTTGTGTACTCGTTTTTCTTGATAAATCAATTTTAAATTTGGATAGTCTGGTCTTGAGGGTTCCATTTTTTTTTAATGTAATAATTTGAAGATCATAGTCAATGGTTAGTTAATACTTGCGACTACCTGCTGTAAAAATCCCTGTTTTTGCTGCTACTGTGTACCATACGAAATTGTTGTCTTCACCTCCTGAGTTCCAATTTAGTCTGACCAGTCTCCATGTGAATAACTCACAGCTTCCCATAGAAACAACTGATCTAATTAATAGTTTTTTCATAAAATATTGTGGATTTTCATATTAGATGTTGAGGGTCAGGCGAGTCGGAAAGTTTCATTACAGAGATATCTTGAAAAGCGAAAAGACAGGTACCTTTGACTAAGTTTGTTTTTCAGTTATAAGCCCATAATGATGACATCTTGCATGGTAGATAAGCTTTGTGGCCTCCGATCTCATTACGTTCATTTCACTCCCATCTTTGTGGTTAAATTTCTGTAAGGGGAAGGTTAAAGAACAAGAAAAATACAGGATTGCCTTCTTCTAGCCTGGAGGGGTATATGAACCATCAAATGAGGACGCACATATCCAATAAGAATTTAGGTCAGAGTGTGACAAGCTCTTTATCCCCAACTGGAGTAGCAAAAGCCTTCGTTGGAACAGCCGACAATCAGTCAAAATTTGCATGTTTTCCTGTCGACCTTAATGTTAAAGGTAGAACTATAGAGCTTTTATATCAGCAGTTGACTTTTTTTTTGGCATTTATATGCATTTTCATCACTCATTAGAACTGGTAATAAATTGGATTGGTTGCACTAGTTCTATTAAATCACTTTCTCAACTAAGGCGTTTATCAGTTTCTCCTGAAATTTCTGTAGAGTTAGAATCCAATTGTTTCCATGCATTTTCGCTAGTTTTCTTTGCTTTTGCCCCGCCTTTTAATATTATTAATTTCTGAAGCAGCACATCGACGTTAAGGAAACATTTATGAGTTTGATGAATTAAGACCAAAAACTTCCAACATCCTAGTAAATGACACAACTTCATGCAACATTTAATAATTGAGCTATCTTGTACTTTTCTGCAGATACATAATCTTCGGCTCTTGCCTTTTTCTAGGCGTTATTTTTGGTTCCAAAAAACTTTTCTCCGTGTGTCCGAAATGGTTAACTGAGGAACTTGGTATCAGTTTTAGGTGTCACCATCTGATGTATAATAGGATCTGGTTATAATAGGATTGTCTAATGGTTTAGCAGCCCAATAGTTCATAGTCAAATTTATGGTATAAAGTTGTTTGATATCTCAGTTTGGGAGCTACTTTTCTGCAGACGTCCAGGAGTGCTGAGTTTGACGACATCGATGATGTCATGCTACTTCACAAAATCATCCTCGTGATTAACAAGAACTAGAGAGAAAGAAGAGCGGAACAAAGTCGTGAAATGGTTGCTCGTTGCATGATTTGACTGCGTTTAAGGGGGAGTGTTATGTATGCCTTCCCCAACCGAACCGGTCATATTTTGGAGATCTTGCAGGGAGAGGTGTCTATATCAAGAGTATCTCATTCAGCTGATCAATTTTGTAACTTGGACACGGTATCGCGACCGTTGCTAGGATGGTTAGGAATTTGTTCATGTTTCTGCTGTCGAGGCTTATTGAGTTGAGATGACGATGCAATGTTGGAGACGTCCAGTTCTCATGCATTATGTATAAAAATGTATGCTGTCTTTTCTCTGCCAACACCCTCTCTCTCTGTATACCAAATTCAAATCTTTCAGGCGCATAGCATCTTACCTCACCACAATTTGATGCCGTCAAAACCAATGGTTCTTTTCAATCACCCACGAAACTCTCCCTCATGGTAGCGTTCGTCTAGGAGTCGAACTCGCTGTTCGGTCATGTTAAAAGCTTTGCTTAATTGTTAGTAGACTACGTTATACCATAACTAACTTTTGTAGAATAGCAATCTAGAACATTAGATTTGATAGAATTTTTGAAGCCATTTTGCCCTCAGATGGAAGAAGAATATGGCGGAAGAAAGTAGAGGGAGTTTTTGAGATGGGATGTGAGAGGAAATAACTTAAGATTGAGATGTAAATGTTAATGAAAGGAAGAAAAGCACTCCGTTTTATTATTAATCGAACTAAGCATTATAAAAAAGTGATTAATTCGATGTACACAGCTAATTAAAAAATTGTATATTAAAATTATTGCGAGTCAAATTAAAAAGTGACGTGGTTCAAGTGGCTTAGGTTAGCCCACTTGACTGAGGATGTTTGAGAGTCATTTAAAATTAAAATCACTTTTATTATTATTAAAATCACTTATTTTCTATTGATTTTTAAAGTATTGCTTCGATGATAATTTTGAAAATTAATTTGACTTAAATCTCATTTTTCAAAATCACTCATTCTACCATCACTCCAAAATTCACTCTTAATCGATTGAACAACTCCATTAAATCGTTTGGATAAATCGAGTCGATTAGATCCAATCGAGTCAGTCCAGAATTGAAAGACTCTACTTTTGTCTAAATCTAAAATCGTGAGATGTTGGCGTCAGGAATCCAAATCCTACATTAGAAAAAATATATTAAAAATTCATGAATATTTACCTGAGTGGGCGTAAAATCCAAATTCCAGTAGTTATTTTATAGATTTGTTTTTCTTGGTCGTAAAGACTTATAAAATCCACGTCATTTGCGCGCCACAAGACTAAAAAAAATCTTCATCCGTACACGTGGCAGCACCAATGACATTAATTAAACGAATTAAGGAAGAAAAAGAAAAAGAAGAGAAAATCATTGATTTCGAACCTTCAAGTTCAACTGAGAATTCTTGTTATTCCTTCTTTAAATTTGGAGCTCGGCAGTCAACCGGAGCACCTTCTCGACGGTTCAACTCCGGGAAAAATTTTCAGAGAGCGCGTTCGAACATGGCGATCGAGGTGAGTTTAATGAGCCGAACTGGTCTTCATTCTATATCAGACATTGATTCAAATTCAAAACATTGATGGAGGAAACGAGTCTTTGTGCAGGCTTGGTTTATGGATGATAGCAATGAGGACCAAAGGCTTCCTCACCACCGCGACCCTAAAGAGTTCGTTTCCATGAAGCAATTGGCAGGTGCCCCTCCCACTCCCTTTTCTCCCGAAACTTAGGAGAATTTTTGCCCTACGATTGAATTGAATGAATTATGTGTAGAATTGGGAGTGCTGTACTGGAAATTGAACCCTAACAACTATGAAAACGATGAGGAATTGAAGAAAATCAGAGAAGACAGGGGATACAACTACGTGGTTTGTGGATATTCACTAATCCGTCGGCGTTTTTCCGTTTCTATTTTGGTCATTTTTGTTTGAAGTTTCGTTTTGCATGAGATGTGGTAGGATTTACTTGATATATGCCCGGAGAAACTTGCTAATTACGAAGGGAAGTTGAAGGATTTCTACACAGAGCATATTCATGGCGATGAGGAAATTCGCTACTGTTTGGATGGAAGTGGCTACTTCGACGTGCGGGACAAGAACGACCGTTGGATTCGAATCTGGATCAAGCCCGGCGATCTTATCGTTTTGCCTGCCGGTATCTACCACCGTTTCACTCTGGACACCAATAATTATGCCAAGGTACTACTAATTACCATAACTTCGAAGAAAATTATGGGTCCACACACTTTTAAAGTCTATTTTGATTTTTGAATTTTCAAAACACCTGTGTATGTGTATATATATATATTTTTATAATTGGGAGTCGGAGCTTTGCTCTCCTGTACCCAGACGCACCCTCCGAACTAGGCGACATCAAGGATTTTTGGTATTAAGATCACTTGAAGGTTCGAACCTGAGACCTCTAAACAAAAGACCCCAAGCCTTGCTAACGAAAGGGTTTCAAAACACCTCTTTATTATTTTGCTTTTAACCAATCTAATCTACCCTTTTAGGTGCCAACATGAGTTACAGGCATGTATTGCCGACTGTGTTCGAACCCCACCCCTACATATTGTCCTAAAAAAAAATCGAGCCTCTTTAGCTGGATGAGATAATATTGTGTGAGTGAATATTAGTTAGAAAAATAATTTATACTAAAGACGAACGTGATAATATTTTGAAAGTTTAAGATTTAAAAAGACGTTTTGAAACTTTATAAACTAAAATGGTTATTGTGTAACAGAAATTTTAAGGCTATAGACGAAAATGAGATTTAAAATTTTATCATTCTATGTAAATTTGTAGGCAAAAAAAGAGTATTTCATACATTGATTTTCATGGTATTATCATTATTGGATTATACGTAGTTGATGAGGCTGTTCCAGGGAGAGCCAATTTGGACTCCGTTTAACCGGCCACAAGAGCAGCATCCTGCAAGGAAAGAATACCTCAAGACCTTCACTGAGACAGCTGGAGTGGCACTTGAGGCTCATTAAAGACTTATGTGTTCTACTGTTTCTATGGCAATTAACACGAAGTTATGGGGTTTGTACTGTTGGGTATATATGGCTTAGATTAAATACTGTATAAATTTTGCAACTGCTGTTAAAACTTGGTTTAATAAACGTATGAACTTTATATTTATGAATTGATCGTCTCAAAAGAATTGTAGTTTGAATAACTTTGGAAAATTAGGCCCTATTTTGTTTTATATTTCATTAAAAGATAGATAGTTCTCTCCTTGCAGAATTGAAAGATATGGAATCTCGGATATGAAATTCTTATATATCACCAGACAATTTTTTTTTTCTTTTATTGTTCTTAAATCACATTTATTTTTATCATCCTATTTGAGCCCATATTTGTTGTCTATAGTATCTTATCACGAAAGCCTGTTCCACAGTGCTTTACAAAGTATTGAGTTTATGTGTCAGATATGTAGTTCAGCATTTTCCTTAAAAATGTTGTTCATTTATTACATGTTAATTATATTCTAACCCACATTATTGAGTGCTAACTAGCGTTTTCGCATTGAAATTATTAACTTTTTAGTTTTCTTGCTGACAAGAAAGTTTCATGCCTCTTGACAATCAGAGGCTTGTTAATCACTGGAAAATCTGTAGCCACAAACCAACTCTCTGGTAAGCATCTTCTGAATTTACAACTTTGACGTTAATTATATCCTCTTTCTGTCCATTCTTGCACAGCTTCTGACGAATAATCTGAAAATTGCGATAAATCTCCTCATTGTATTGCCAATAGTGCAGTTATACTGATATCTATACGTAATACGCCCGCCTTACAAGCTGTGCCCCTTGATTATTATGAAATTGATTAAAGCTGAGTTTGATTCCATTTGCAGGAATAATTTTGTCAGTCAGCGGCCTTGTGCTGCTGCATGGAGTCAGATTCTATGACAGCTGGGTCCTGTTTGGTTGCTTTAATCTAAAGAACTGTTTGCGTACTAGTTTGCTCTTTTCTGCTGCTGAACTGCTCTCTAAAAAGTGTGAGTCTCAATTATTTCAAATTTAGTGGAAAGCGAATTGAAATAACAACAGATTTTCAAGAAAAGATTTGAAATTTTGTTGAAGGCTAATATATATCTCCAATGGATGTTTTAGCTATAGAGTTAATGGTTCAGTGTTGAGATCATGAATATGTGACCCACCTCCTGATTCCTACAGCGGTGTACCAAACTAAATGAAAATGATATGTCAACCATTGAAATGAGGGCACTGAATGAAGTTACTGATTCACTTTCCACAAGAATGTTTGTGTAGTTTGGGTTCAATTGGTCGGTACTAGTTAGTCATTCCAACCGAGTTCATGGGAGCCCATAGAAATATTATGAATAAACCCATAAGTTTGTGGCTTCTAATAGGCAAAACCATCATTAATCTTCTATTTGCATCATATAAAGAAGATTGTTCATTTCGTATCATTTGTTTGGTAAGGGGAGAATGAATTACCAGAGTTTCTTTATAAATATTATATTTTAAAATGAGATTGAGAAATAAGGCCATTTGTTTGAGTATATGTTAGTTTTGAATGAAATTATCTCTTTAGAATATGTTTTGAGGAGACAATTTCATTATGTTACGAGGTCGACAAGCGAAGGAGCAATTAAGCCAGGCGAAGCAACCCGTGCTGGACGAGCCGGACTGAGCAGGGCTCGGTTCTGACCCTTGCTCGGTGTCGAGCTAGGCTTGGCCCAAGGCCGAGCCTCGTCCTTGCTCCTCTACTGCTGCTGGAGGTGTCTCGGCCCATAGGCCCACATGTATCAGACCTAGGGTTGGCATTTCGTGAAACCCTAGGGGGGAAGATCGACTAGAAATAGGTAGGGGGGTCACTCCTTGAAGGTAAGCTGAATTACACTTCAAGTACCTTACTTGCTTAGTGATTTCTCCCATAGCTAACTTAGACATCGGAGTTAGTGTGACGAAAGTCACACCACTTTAGGGTTGTTTGGTTTTGCAGGTATCCGGTCCCCTGATAATCGAGTTTGGTGCACATTTTGGAGTGAATCGGTCTACCAAAATCCAAGCATCAACAATTGGCACCGTCTGTGGGAACGATACAAGCTATACACTTGAGCAAGCAACATGAACCCGGAGGAAAGTCCACGACGCTCTGATGACGATTGCCATCCGAGGAGGAGACTGAACATAGACGACCCCCTGCTAGGAGGAGTTGAGGGTGAGATGAGTTGACCCGACTCGGAGCGTCGAGAAGGGCTACCAGATGACCCACGAGTCAAGGCTCTGGATCAACCCAAAAACAAGTTTGTGGCCCTGGAAGAGAAGTTTGAGGGTATGGACCAGCATATGACCCAACTGCTTTAGCAGTTGGAGCAAAGGGAAGCGAGCCTACTGCCCCTTGTCAGAGTCCCTCGAAAAGGAAAGGGCCCGGCGCTAATCGAAGCAGAGGAATCGACAAATAAAGCGCAGAGCAAATTGAAGTTGGGGGGAAACGACAGGCGGAGGACTCGGATTTTCGACTTGGAAGGCCGGCCGAATGTCGACAGGAAGCGGCCAAAATCCTCGGTACCCAATGGAGGCTAGGAGGAGCAAAATACCCGAGGAGACCTCGGGCCGGTAGACCTCGACAAAGAGAAACTGAGGGATCGACCCGAATTATCCGAAAAACAACTGAGCTTGAAAGAAAAGGGAATTGACCTCGAGGAGTCAATAGACCAAACAGATTCCCCGTTCACGGAGGAGATAATGGGGGATAATGTGCCTCCAAAATTCAAGCTACCAGCCATAAAGCAGTTTGATGGGACGGCATATCATCTCGATGCCTACTGAAAATGGATGGACATCTACAGGGTCTCAGAGGCAATTAGATGCCGAGTTTTCTCATTCACCCTAGGCGGGTCAGCCAGTGTTTGGTTTCGACAATTAAAGCAAGGGTCGATTTTAAGCTTCAAGAGCCTCGCTAGGGCATTCGTGACCCAGTTTGTAGGAGGACGGAATTGGAGCCGATCAGTAGCCTACCTCCTGACCATAAAACAGAGGGCGGCGAAGAGCCTTCACAATTATGTGGCTTGGTTCAATGAGGAGAAGCTACAAGTGGAAGGTCTTATTGATGCAGTATCACTACTGGTCATGTCCGGCATCTATCGTTTTCGTTCAGAAAGAAAACCTCGAACACCTTTACAGACGCACTGAGTCGAGCCCAGAAATACACGAGTGTTGCGGAATTTTTCCACTAAAAAAAGGAACCTGAAGGGAAATGAACCGACCAAAAAAGAGAAAGGTCAGGAGAGAAGCAACAGAGCTCGAGGTGGGAAAAACAGATCGAGCTAGTCAGAAAGATCCGCTTCGAAAGTTCGAAAAATACACTCTAACCACAGTCCCACTCAAGCAGGTGTCAATGGAGATCAAAGATCAAAGGTTGCTTGAGTGGTCAGAAAGGATGAAAGCACCTCCGAATAAGAGGAGCAAAGGATGATATTGCCTCTTCCACCGAGACCATGGGCATGCCACACAGGATTGTTTTGACCTCAAGGAGGAGGTGAAAGGACTTATCCTAAGGGGTATCTCAAGGAGTACGTGGAGGATTCCAAAGCGACTCAAAATAGTGAGAATGACAACAAGTCTCATGCCAGAGAAATCCGAACGATAATGGGAGGTTCAGTAGAAAGAGGAAGGCAAGTGTACGGGAAGCAAGGACAAGCCTAGGGCATTATGAAGTCTAGCATGCAGTTTTTGCCGGGCGGCCTTCAAAAATCAAATTTTCAGAGGATGAGACAGCCCACCCTCCCACCCACACAATGACACATTGGTTATCGCCTTACAAATAGCCAATATGAAGGTGCACTGAATCTTGGTGGATGGGGGTAGCTCTACTGACATCATCTCCTTAACAGCTTATAATACTATGGATTTAGGAGAAATGATGCATAAGAGCAGCAGTGCACCACTAGTGGGTTTTGGGGGAGAACGGGTCATCTCGGAGGGCAGGATAGAATTGCTGGTAACATTCGGTAGTGGGTCAAGGAGCATCACCAAAATAGGAGAATTCCTCATCGTCGACTACTCATCTTCCTATAATGAAATTTAGGAAGGCCGACCATACACACACTCAAAGCAATACCCTCTACCTACCTCAATTTATGAAATTCCCAACACCTAGAGGTGTAGGTGAAATCAAAGGGGAATAGCAGGTATCACGTGAGTGCTACTACACCTCGTTAAGAGGCCACGACGCAGGAATTGGGACCTCTACTTCGAAATGATCATCGCAACTTTCTCGACCGATAAAATAGGGTTTAGGGTAGATGCAACCTTTCAAGGTTATTTTTTGTTTTTCTCTTTTCCTATGGTTATGTTATTTGATTATGCATTTGTTTTGGTCAAATAAAATTCTTATTATCTACTTTGAGCAACCACTGTCACTTCTTTCCGTGAACTCCTCAAGTAGGGGGCATGGTAATATATGGAGCAATGGAATATGGAAGAAAAATTAAAGATCTCGATCAAGGCCAAACCAAAAGCGGGCCACTTGGTCTAGCGCGGTTAAAACACGAGGCAGAGCAAGAGGTCGAAAGCCAAGCAACGACGAGAGTAACAGGTGTAAAACTGCTGGCCATGACCAACAAGTTAGAAACCTACGAGAGTTAAAGGCAGGCAAAGTCGACTCCACCAAAGTTTGAGCCTTAAGCAAATAAAGAAGCTTGAAGAGATCTAATTGATAATTCCGACATAGAACCAGCAAGGTAATAGGAAAAACAACAACAGAAACATAGCAAATAATTTTCCAAAACATGAAGCATCAACAGACAACTTGACCCACGTTGTCCCTATTTGTCGTCATTACTGTCGTCCATATCGTCGGGGGCGTCGCATTCAGCTCTAAAACGTTCCTGGAGAAAGGAGTAAGCAATGTCAGGGTGTTCATTAGAGACCTGGTGGAGAGACCAGGAGACACCACACTCCATGGCGGCATTCTGCAGATCGACATAGTCCTGGGCCTTCTTAAACTCCTCGGCCAAGAATTCGAAGTTGGAGAGCTGGGCATTGGCCTTGTCAAGCTTCCTTTGCAGTGCGGCTAAGTCATGGGATTTCCTCCTTTCGACCTCCAGGTCATGCTGAGCAGTCGCCAACAGGATGTGAGCCTGGTCTAAAGAGGTAAGAGCCCGGTCCAGTTCATCTCGAGGAGCATAGTGATGACGAAGATGGTTAATTTCGTCAGCAACTCTACCCGAGAACACGACCAAGCGGTTAAAAACCTACTAAAGCCAATGACAAATGTTAGACTAGATGCGACATTGGATACCAAGAGGCAACTATGATATTGACCTGATGGAGGTCATTAAGACAGGTATTGATGCGGTGCTGAGGGTTTGAGTAACCAAAACTCGGTCCAAGTCCTTGCCAAAGGCTGAAAGCCCTCTCCAGATAAGCCGCCCCGTTGGTATCGGCATCATACGGGCCCAAAAAAGGAAAAGCCGATACATGGGAGGAAGACCCAAGATG